TAATAATACTAATAATACACAATGACCACAAAAACTATCATAAATAAAAGTTTAGAAATCTCTTTCTACTTCAGTATTCACTGTAAAAAAAAAAATACAAGCATGTTTTTATAAATTAGCTGTAAAACTCAAGTTTTTAAAAAAGTATGATTGACGTGACTTTGTGAGGGAGGATTCACATAAAAAAAGAAAAGTTGTGAAAAGACCCTCTGCTTGCACTTAAATGCTATTCAAACGTTTTCAACACGTCCCTAACAGCTGAGAGGAGAGGAAACCTGCATGTGTCACCAGCTGAGAGGTTGTCAGTGATGCCCTCTTCCTCAGGAGTGAGACCGTTTCCTCTGCYAACACGGTGGTCTGAAAGCCACCAAATCCTCAGAATGCAGCTCAGAGTCAGGGGTTCACGGCAAAACTACGACAGCRTGTCTGCGTCCCGTCGAACAAGAAGAGAGACGACGTTAGACCGGCTCTATTCTGGGCAGCGAGAGACCCGACACTCCATCCAGACCCCAGGAGTGAAGCACAGGTGGGCCCAGCAGAAGGGCTGTGATGACTCCAGCACAGACAGCCAGGAAGTTGTTTCCTATTCATCTGTCTGACAGAGACGAGTTTAACACCAGGCTCTAATAAATGACAGAAATGACTCAACTCAAGAAGAACGTCGTCCTCAGCTGCTGTAGGAGATCAGGATGTGACGAAGCAATTAAACCCTCCTGTGTTTGTCTGATAGGAAAATCTGATTTTATTGTTTTGTTGTGCAGAGAAAAAAAAGTTTAAGACCAATGCAACGCAACCCAAACTTTAATGTCAAGATTTTTTAATGTTTTTCTATTTTGTTTTTTTTTTTTTCTGTCATAGATGGATTTATGTGCTTCTGGTTTAGTATTTACCCTTTATCTTTGTCTGTGTCTCCCGTAGGTGCTGAAGTACGCCCCTGAGGCTAATCTGTACAGGAACCAACAGAGGCAGCGGGTGCGCTGGGTTATCGATGAGGTTTTCCTTGCGCACCATGAGTCATGCGAGTGTGACTGTCCCCTCCAGCCTCCTCGCTAGGACACTATTTGTTTTTTTAGGTCTGGAACTGATGGATGAATTTTTTTTCTGTTTTTCGAAACGGACTTTACATAAGAAAGCACTGCTGACTAAACACGTAGCAAAGACGAAGCCAGCAACAGACTGATGAAGTGCAGCTTGTATTCTGCTCAAAGACAGTAACTGTTACAAGTCAAACATTTATTTTCCTCTGTGCGCGGGCCATTTCTCTCTCCTACAAATAAAGTTTGACCCCTCGTGCCACATTTAAATGCAATGCCGTGTTGAAATAGAAGTGGAGCTTCTCCAACAAAAGCAACCTTGGAACAAAAATTTTCCTCAACAAACCCCAGTACTAAAGACCACATACTGAGAGAAAAAAAATCAAATACAACTTTTATTTTTCAAAGGAGTTTTGAAAAATGATTACTTTAAACTTTCAAGCAGTCAGTTTTTTTTATTTTTTTTTTATTTATTTATTTTTTGTGTGCATGTGTGGTAAAAAGACTGTTTCTAGAAACTTGGGCAAGTTCTCTGCCAGAAGCAAGCTGAGATGAGTAAGTGATAGACAGAAGGATGGAAGAAGAAGAAGAAGAAGAAGAAGAAGAAGAAGAAGGGATGGAGGAATTTTACACCAAAATAACACATTTCTAGATGTGAAATTAGGCTAACGACAATCCTTCATATTAAAATTTCACACCAACACACACACACATTCATGGTGAGGCAAAAGAAAACACAGCTATGTGTGTAAAATGTGGCTTTATTTTCCCCCAAATTTTCATCTGAATATAACGTTTTTCTTGTTGCATCTCAGTCCAACTGCACACCTCATTTCTGTCCAAAACACATCCTTCTACTCGCTGCCTTCATCCCTCTCTCTCTCTGTAACACATCAAAAGAAGATGTCAGATCAGGCTGCAGCGCCGTGCGCCCAGATTTTCCTCTGCATTCCTGGCATTCCAGCTGCAGAGCGGAATTCTGCTGCAGTGGATAAACCCGCGAACCTCAGACCTCTGACACATACTGTAACAGAGGAAAAGGGAGACAGAAACTCAGGAAGAGCGACAGAGGGGAAGTTTTTAGGAAAGGTGTCTCGTCTATTTGTAGCTTCGCAGCACTTGAGGATGAGAGAGATGAAATCAGAGCGATGCCGTTTGTATCCGCCGAAAATCCAAACCTAAACCGATGCAGCTCAGGAAGAAGTCCTTTTGTTTAAAATGTGGGGGGGTTTCCTACCCGTCTGTGAAAAGCTGGCAGCAAATGGAAACRTGGGAACGGTTTGTGTGTCTAACCTGTCAGCCTGACAGCAACCGGGCAAGAATTCAAATGTCCAAACACACGATCCTGCTGTACATCCGTCATCTCTCCTTCATCACCCCTCAATCCAACCGTTCAAACGCTCGGGCCGGGTTTCAGCTGGGAAAATCTCACGCTGCTTTTGTTCAAAAGACAGGAAAAAAAATCATAAGTGGACCTGATGARGACTCATCAATAACAGTAAAACCAAATCAAAGCAGCATTTTTATGTGACTACATGATGGTCACAGCTGTTTGCTGCCAGATGTGGAATACATCACTTTCAAGTTTTGTGAGTCACACTCCAGATAATTAATGGCAGACATTTTTCATACAAACACAAACACACACACATGTTGAAAACCGTCTTCATGTTCTTTGTGACCCTCTGATTTCAGTTTTTAAGTAAGATTTTTTTAACATTTTATTTCTCCAAATTGGACTATTTTGGTTGATTTTGTTTTGTTTTTGATTTCCCAAAACTTAAACAATGAAACTTCAGATTTATGCGTATTCAGGTTTGAATGAATGCAATTCTTATTTTTCTTCAGGCTCCATTGTTTTAAAAAGAAAACTTACTTACTTTCAAACATTTTCTGTCCAAAGTGTAAAGGCCGTACCGTTTTCACGTCAGAGAAAGTTACTGGTTTCAGTTTGAACAAGCAAAAGTCGATTTGCTGCAGTGAGAAAAATTATGACCAAACTCYGTGCTTCTATTCAATAATTTATTGTGTCTTTCTGTATTGTCTTATTAAAATATCAGCTGGTTGGTTTTGATAAATAAAATATTTGTAGCATTACTGCATTCAGTCATTTTTTTGGTTTGTTTTTCTTTATAAACTGTTTCAGCAGGTTTTTGTTAAAACTGCAGCAAGTTTTATTTGAAGTTGTATAATGACTTGTTTTAGAAATGAGTAATGGGGAAAGTATGCCATGTGTTTTAATAGGAGCATATTTTAAAAATATTACAGAGAAAACGAAAAAGGTCTGAACCCAAGCATATTTCTAATGAAGACAGAAAAGTACAGCTGCTGCACACGGACACAAAGACACCTGTGTTGCTGAGGTCTCAGGCATGCACCAGCAAGCAAACAACACAGATAACCTTGTGCAGAATTTGGGATTTTAAAAGCAAAAACCCAATTATTTTAACCAGAAGAAAGGAGAACACAATGCGGTTTTCATGGGATTATGTTTCTTCTCCAGGACACGTCTTAGATCATCAATTAGAGCTTTTCTTTATGGCTCTCAAAAGGTTGAACAATTTTATTAAGTTTATTTATTTAATTGCCGTTGCAAATACATAAACATTTGGTTACCAAAGACCTGTAATATTGTTAAAAAGCGCAAAAACTCTAATGCATTTTTAGTCTAATGAAACCAAGAATACTCAGACGTGTACTAATGGTGACAACAAACCATGAACACAATGATTTGAACAAGGACCATAAGCTCAACTTAGCATCATTAGCTCTCAAAGAAAACACTGCTCTAGTGTCATAAAGTGGATCCACTATCTGTAAGCAGTTTTATGAATAAATCAACACAGATTCCATGTAAAATTGATACAAACTGTGCCCAGCGGGTCAGAACTGCTGCCGCATTTAGGCAACCGATTTGAAATGGCACATCCAACTGAGACAAGTGGACAGCCTACGAAAACACCTGCAAGTGACAGATGATAAAAAGAAAGTGTTATTAAAAAAAGATGATGGGCCAACAGCTGCAGCGTTCATGAAGCTGAATGCATTTGTAAACCGTATGAATGGGGAGGGAGTTCTACTGAACTAAAATCCCCTAAAGGAAATAAGTCTGCTATGAAACAAATCTTAAAAGAATGTTTTTTTTTTCTAAAACGGTGTAAAAAAAACTGGTCCATGCATTTAACAGTTAGTTAATCCAAAGTACTGCTGCTGCTAGGGTTCTGATGAGAGTTTAAAGRAGAGACCATTTTTCTTCAGTTTTAACTTTGCTCCATTGGTTCCCCGTCAAATAAAAACATAGTTTTTCTAATAAACCAAACTCCATCTTTTATTAAAGCTTGTACTAGTCCATATTTTCCAACAGAGGACTTTGCTCTCACACTGCAGGCCTACTGGTGTTTCCTGGAGTTTCTAAAATTAAATAACTTAAAATCTCCCTTCAATACCTCAATACCTAGAGGGAGATAAAACTTAGCCCTCAATTTACATTAGACGCTGTTCCGTTCTGGACCGACCACCATGGTGAATATGCAACCATTATTTTTTTATGCAATATGCAACCATTATAATAAATGACAGTATTTACACTGTCTCCGCACAATGGTGCAGGGCAGCGAGTGGACGGCGATAAGCCAAAATTTTATTCATCCTTTGCCCGATGCCGGAGCTGCTCCAGAGTCAATGTGCAAAAATCATACTGCACCAACAGGGAGAAGAATGAGCACAACTTCCGTTTTTTCAAAATAATTCACTAAAGACCGACCAATTTTGTCCAAATGTTTGCTATATTAATAATTATATGGATATATTTATACATAAAAGCTGTCAAAATGTATCATGATTGAGAAGCAGATGGAAACAGACCAGATAACAATCAAAAATATTTTGCGGATCTGGTAAAAAAGCTTCCATCCAGCAGTAACTTGTTCAGAGAGGTTTGTTCCGCCCTCCTTTTATGTTTGACTCATCCAGTCACAGTTCCAGCCTCTGAGCGCTCATTCTCCAAGTGAAAACTCACCACTTGCATACATGTCAACCCCTTCGGTTGTTACCTGTAAAAGGAGCCTCAAAAATCTATAATTTTTACAAAAAATAAAACTTGTGCCAGAGCAAGTTGGAAGATGGTTATTTGATTTTTTTTACGTCCTACAGGCTCTGACATGTTAAATAATTATTTGATCAGAAAAACTTGAAAAAATTGGTCTAGTACGCCAGCAAAATACGAAAAAATTAAAATCCATACAATTTGACATGCTCCACTTGAAGAACACAGCGGGACAGGAGGGACTGAGCGGACTTATGTTGTCCATAGAGAACAAGAGATCAAAGAAAATACACAACATCGCGGATGAGTTTGTGGAGCTCGTTGTTTGCCCTTCAATAGTGGAGAGTAGTGCTTCTTTTTGAATTTATGTTTGTGAACATGTGGGCCGCTGTGCCAGTTTTCCTAAACTTTGTAGCTACTGGTAGAGTACAGGCTCTGAGTTGATACTGTTGTCAAAATGATCGAATCTCTTTCTGTGGTGCTGAACTGCTTTGAATTTGTGTCGTTTTATCATCAGTAGCTGAATGTTTTAATTGTTTTCTTGGTTTTTTTTATATTTCATGTCCGTTTAGTCGCACTCTGTGGTGCTGAAGTTTGTATGAGTTTTATTATTTGGTGTTAAAGGGCCTGGTCATTTGCCCCGGCCCCGCCCACTCTGATTTGTTCCGCTAGTGCTCTCAAACCTCAGTTGTTTGAGGCAAATGGCCACTCACACTGAAGGTTTCTTCCTAATAAAAGAGTCTTTTCTTCCCACTGTCACCGGTGTGCTGCTCAGAATGGCAGATCTTGACAAAGTGAAAATTCAAGGAGAATTGCTGGTTTCTTTAGATAGACAATCTTTCTGCTACCTGGCATTTCATTATGTACCGTGTGAATGTATCATAAATCTGTAAAGAACTAAACTGAGTTGACATACAGCACTCGATGGTTGTACTTGCATTAAAAAGAAAAGAATTGTCTTAAACGTGGAAAAACATGAGCATCCAACTTTTAATGATTGTTCATCTAATTTTTAATTCGATTTTTGTTTGTTTTCTTTTTCAGTCGTATTACACATCAGCACTTTGAGGTTTGTTAATCTAAAAAACTGAACTGACAGATTACACACTYAAACATGGAAGATAATGTAGACCCCTTTTACAAATCTGAGGATGGTGATTATGGTACCAGCTGCTAAATGTAGGAGCAACACAGCTTGATCCATGATTCCAACGGCTACAATCAAAACGGTTCATACTTTGTTAAATGCCAACGAGGCTACCTTTAGCGCTTCACCCGTGTCTTGCTCTACATCTCTCAAGGCTGTTTCCTGTCTCAGTCGTCACTGTGGCAACCCTTCCTGTGCTGTTATCATTACACAGCAGCCTCCACTCGTACAGCCAGACAGTCACATCCTACAGTCTGACCAGCGAGCCAGACATTTGTCCATCTGACACCCATCACAGAGTAGATTTTTCAGAAGGAAAATTCAACAAAGTCAAGTGGACTCCTAGGTCCCGGTGGACACGAGCGAGACCGAATACAAAACATACAGTCAGACAAACAAAAACTGACTGGAATTAAGATTAAGGTAAAAAAAAAAAGGTGCAGTAAACAGAGAAAGAGACGGCAGGGAAAGGCAAATCAATCAGAAAAAAAGGTCAGAAGGAGACAGGACGTGTTGTTTGTTTGAACCCATCATTCCAACACGCCTGTTTCTGTGTCTGTCAGCAGCTTCTTATCTTTAACTTGGAGTCAAACACACCGAATGTCAGCTCACTTTGTCTTACAGATTGGACTGCCCTCCCCAGGCTGTTTTCTTGAATATGTATGCATTTATGTAAAAACAGTGCAACTTGAGTGAGGCCTTCTTATTGTTGTTCACCTTATTTTTACTTTTCTGCAGCTGGAACTTAGACACCCACACATGCTTGTCCGCACCTCTTCATACATGTGTCCCACTGTTATTTTCCACCTGTCATGCTTCACATTTTCATTATATTCTTCACACTGAGGTCTTGACTTTTTTTTCTCCCACGTTCTTATTCCAGTGATTCAGTCTTTTCTAGCAAATCAGGCCTTTAGTTACCTGGGAAACAAGGAAAGGAGAACATAAATGATGTGGGAACAACATCTTAGAATCTTTTCTAGCACTACTGATTATTTCTTGTTTTAATATTGTCCACCGCTGAAAGGCAAAGGGTGGACGGTCATCATGTTTTTTCATCATGCATCTGTAGCAATTATCTCAGAGTCCACCAGAAAAAGTTTCATAAAACTTGTCAAAAGTAATCACCGGATTTACATCTACAACTGATAATGCCTGGGTCACAAGGCAAGATTTYAAAATTGTCGGCTGATTTTCAAAGACTTATAGACCCCACATGTGACAATAACGAATCATAGCTATAACAGGTTTGGGCCTACCACACTGAAGTTTGTGGGTGTGTTTTTCTGTGCTGAAAGCGCTGGGACACTGAATTTTGCTTCAACCACTTGGTTAAAAATTACTCGCTTCCGGAGTCGACTGTTTTACCAGGAAGCAGATCTATAAAGATAGTCAAACGGTCAAAAACTCATCAATGGAGGTAAAACAGACGTGCACAGTGGAATCTGTCATAAAAAATTGTGGAGCTTTAACCATGACAGATTTGTAGATAAATAACATYGGGTGATGGGACTTTTTTTCCTGCATTGTAGACTCTAGGGAGAAGAAATCCCATGCAGTGATGTATGCTGCAGTGGGAGGAGTTTCCCAGGAACTCGGTGCAGTGCGTCTCAGGGTCTATGAACGGTGCGTGCCAAAATGAATGCCAAACAACCACGTGACCGCTGCGAGCATCGACAGTTCAGCTTTGGAATGAGTATGTTCCAGCCTTAAGAGTGCAGAAATTTTTAATTCAGTCTCTCTGAATCTCCAGTAGAACTCTCCATAGGACCAGGACAGGTCTTTGTTGAAGGTTCATCCATTGGGGCGGCTGTGGTGTAGTGGTAGAGCAGCCGGCTTTGGGACCCGCAAGTCACAGGTTCGACTCCCCGCCATGCCTACATGCCGTTGTGTCCTTGGGCAAGACACTT